GGGGAACATGGATGGTAGGAAGGTCACCTAAAAAGCAGCCGCACATGGAGGTAGGGAGGTGCAGTCCCACGTTGCTGGCATCCAGCGGTGCCAATCTAGCGACATGAGCAGCAAGGCTGCCATGTGACAAATTTTAATTTTGCACTCTTACTGGAAAAACCTAAAAGCACAATGTGGCAGAACCTAAGAAGTCGACCTAATGGCTAATAATGCTTGGATTATCCATCTCCACACCATTGGATTAGACTACATCAGCAACACAGGAGTATAGACAAATGCAATTCAAATAATCTTTCATGATTTTTAAATAATACCAAGGGAATACCGGATGAGGAACTATCAATCTACTAACAATAATAAACAGCTGGGCATGATAAGGGAAAGCATATGATGGATGCGAGGGCAGCAAGTTCAAACATACCAGATTTATGCATGGGTGAGAGGCACATGATGATCAAGTCAAAGCGAGATACTTTCGCCAAATTCTCCAAAATGCTAACTGCTAACACTGCATCATCCCTGAGTACATAATACGAATTAACAATAGGTAATAACAGTACAGGTCATGAGAGAACTGCAAGAGAATGTAAGAAACACTTTAAAAAAACGTAAAGAGGCAAGCACACCGGAAAATTGAGGCTGTGCACTTCACGATATCAATCAGAAAAGCTGATGAAAGTGCATCCTTAAAAATCTCTGGAAGTCTCTCTGGTCGAATTGACTGATCACGTAAGAAAGTGACAATTAGAAGTGCACATATGACATTAATTTAAGACACCAAAAGGAGGCTGAGAATAAACCTTTAACAACTGTATTTGCTGGGTAAGGTCATCAGAGATAGCTCTCCAAGAAACCTCAAAATCATAAGCTGTCTTTGGTGTCTTCACACTTTTTACAGTGCTGGACATATATCGTGAAGCAGCACGTGATGCAAGCTCTTGCACTGATATTTCTGGCCCAGGTTTCTGTTTAGCATCTCGAGATTGCTGCATTATATTAAAGAATTAAAATGTAACAGCAACACTACTGCAAATTCCCCAAAGAAGTGTGCAAAATCAGTACTTTACATCACATTTGCACTAAATAGTAGAACATAAATGTGCTCCTATACACAGAACTTTAAGTATTACTTCAATGGCTAGGGAGGGCTCGCCCTCTACCTGCTCCTTCATGGTTTTCCAACCACCCAAACACTCTGCTCCACCACAGAATCAAAATCCGAATTAAAAAGGGTAAACTTGCCCAGTGGGCAGGCTTTCCTCTGCTTGAATTGACATGTTAGCTAATGGAAGCCAGTCCGGCTACCAAGCTTTGATGGATTTGAGAACTTCAGATACATGAACCAGTTTTTTCATATATCCATAAGGACCAAATACTATAGTTCAGCAAAATGCATGAACAAGCAGACCAACTCATATGCTATGCAGGCTATATCGTTGACATGCAAACTATGCAATGGTATAAGCTGATAAGTACCAACACACAAGTCATACATCTCTTAGTTTTAGCCAACTCCTATATAAGGGGACACAATATCATGGGCATTTATGATAGACAGAAATGTTAGTCAGACCGCACCTGCATGTTATTGTCTTTGAGGCTTACACCAGATCCTCCTTTGGACACACCACCTGATAATTCTCTGATCCCAGCCGCAGCTCTCCCAGGCGAATCAACTTCCATGAAACTGTCCTGTAGAATTAAATCAGACATTACAAACCCAAACATGTTTGCTGAATAGACCTCAGGTAGAATGTAACCAGCTCTACAAGAAACAGAATAGAGGGCTACTTCAAAATCGCAGAGCCATGTGCATGAATTATATTAATCTGACAAAGCATGTTACGAAAACTTTACTCCTTATAAAGGGAAAGACACAGCGTGTCATGCAGTAGAACACTATAACCTACCTTCTGGGGATCACTTGGTGCATGAGAAGTGATATTTTTTCTATCTCCAGCTTTATCAGATTCAGAAATTGTGTGCTTAGCTTGAACTGAACTTCTCTTGGCCATTTTCTGCAGAAGTAATAAACTCCTTATTACAAGCAATGGGAGGGGGCATCTCAGACAGTCATACTTTAATACAACATCTAAGACTGAATGTGGATACATAAGTAATGAATAGAAAATTTGACCAAAGAGCTTGGATGCGAACACTAATGGTAACACATCAGATGAAAACTGAAGTAAATAGCTGCTCACCTCCATGAGTAGCGCCTTTATCTCAGAATATTGTTTCCTCAACTCTGGATTGTTAGCATCGACACTTACAGCAAATTCAGCATCTATTATGCAAATAAGTAATGTACACTAGTTGTCAATGTTCACGAAGACAAGAATTAAGCTTACAAGGAAAGCACTGTCAAAAGAAAAATCAAGAAGGGTTAAAACGCAGAATACCATCCATTGCTTCCTTAAGCTTCCCAAGTCCTTTTCTTGCAGTAATTCTGCGTGAGTATGCTTTAACATAACGGTCATCCAGATTCAGAGCCTCGGTGCAATCATTCTCTGCCTCTTCAAATCTATTAAGTTCCAGATAAAAACGTAAGCCTAAACCAGATAGTGATCGTAAACATGGCTCTAAAGTTCCACAACAGGGAAAACGCGAGATATTGGCACAAATAGCAGAGAACAATATAGGCAGTCTGAAAGTTTCGCTTGATCTATCTATCAACCAGAATTATGGTTACAGCCACAAATAAGGTGTACTATAGTAAATCAATTGCAGCTACTAGCACAATCAAACAGGTAAGTACCACAGCTTAGCAAACACAAGCATGGTTCTAGTGTAGGAACTTGCCTTCTTAGTTTAAGATAAGCCATAGCTCGATTGGCAAAGGCAACAGCCGTCGGCAACAATGCGATACTTCTTGAGTAGCACTCAACCGCTTCAGCAAACTTCTTCTGCTTGAAGTACTCATTACCTTGCAAACACAACCACAGAAACAACACGTATAGGTTCACGGAACTGGTCTCGGCCTCTCAACACAGCAGTCGAAAAATCATCACAAGGGTTTGCATTGGGATGCATATATACATACCTGTTCCTTTTCCGACGTGGCGTCAGGCATTGGTTCGTCGTTCAGGTAGGAAGAGTAGTTTGTGCGATTGTACCGACCAGCCATCTTTCATGACAACAAGAAGGATATGGTTAGATTCGTCAATGCGCCCGAAAGGAAAGATGACAGCAGTTCGAGCAAGCACAATCTAGGACTTTTACAGTGGTGGATCTAGGATTCGAGCAAGCAAGCCAAAGATTACAAAACAAATGGCTCGACTGCATTAGCATTATTTCAGAATTTGACCTCGGTGCTTAATGATCCAACAAAGTAGATAAAACTACGCATAATATCTTCATCTTGTTATTTCTAATTTTCTATAACATGAGCTGGTAAGAAAATGCATCAAGTCAAGCTCTAATAAATGAAAATTGGGAAAATCACCTAGGGGTCCTAAGCATGCCAGGCTACTGTTTGAGGGGATTAGGGTACAGGTCCTGGGAAAATCCATCACCTCTTGGAGCAGCGGCGCGACGAGAGTGGGACGCGTGGGTGAGCTCGACCAGCAGGCCCCCTTGGCGGTGCAGCGGAGGCGAGCCGACAGGGGCGGGGTTCCGGCCTGACGCAGCGGCGCAGCAGTCCAGCGGAGGAGGGGGCGGCTCGGAGTTTCGGAGGCGCAGCGTAAGCGGGGCGACGCGGCCGAGGCGGTGGGCGGGGGCAGTGCAGCGGTGCCTCGGCGCGGTGAGCCGGGCGCTCTGTCTCTCTACCGAGCGAAGCGCAAGGTCAGGCAGAGAAGCCTCTCTGCTGGATTAGGAGAGCGATGATTGGATTGGAGGCCGGCGTCGAGGGAGGCGGCGGCGGCGGCGCTAGCGTTGAAGAGGAAGCGGGCAGGCTTTTGGCTGGCTCGGTCGAGCTCGAACCACTCCGGCACATGGTTAGGTCCAGCCGACTAGTACTCTCCGGAATAAAAAAAAATCCTGCTACGCCTTTGATTGCTAGCATCAAGCCCAACCAGCCTGTTGTTTGCATAGTAAGAACCTCTGAGGCTGCATTTACTCCTGCTCTGAGGTTGCTTTCACTTCAACTTGGAAAGGTTGATTCACTCAAGATTCAAGGTACGGTAGCTAGGGTTCGTCGCCAGCCGGAACACGACGGCTTAGGAAACACCCCTATTACAAGATATGGATTCCACGGATCCCAAATGAGGCTTTAATAGCCAGGAGAAGTTGCTACAAGAGTAAGAAAATGCAGTAAAGATACATATGCTTTGTCGGAAAAGCTAACAGTGACACTTGGAGACTCGCTAGCCGTCGGATGGCAGATCAGTGGCTTGGAGTAGCGATCCGTTGTGAAGCGATACAAAGCGACGACATTCGATGGATGTCGGTCGAGGGGTTGGAGTTGAATCCGGCAACTACAATAGAAGAGCTACAGTAGAAGTGTGTAGGATCGAAAGTAGGTATGGGGGGGTGAGGGAGTTCCGGACTAGGGGGTGTCCGGATAGCCGAACTATCATCATCGGCCGGACTCCAAGACTATGAAGATACAAGATTGAAGACTTCGTCCCGTGTCCGGATGGGACTTTCCTTGGCGTGGAAGGCAAGCTTGGCGATACAGATATGTAGATTTCCTACCATTGTAACCGACTCTGTGTAACCCTAGCCCTCTCGGTGTCTATATAAACCGGATGGCTTTAGTCCATAGGACGAACAACAATCATACCATAGGCTAGCTGCTAGGGTTTAGCCTCCTTGATCTCGTAGTAGATCTACTCTTGTAACACACATCATCAATATTAATCAAGCAGGACGTAGGGTTTTACCTCCATCAAGAGGGCCCGAACCTGGGTAAAACATCGTGTCCCTTGTCTCCTGTTACTAGCCGCCTAGACGCACAGTTCGGGACCCCCTACCCGAGATCCGCCGGTTTTAACACCGACATTGGTGCTTTCATTGAGAGTTCCTCTGTGTCATCACCAATAGGCTCGATGGCTTCTTCGACCATCATCAACGACACAGTCCAGGGTGAGACCTTTCTCCCCGGACAGATCTTCGTATTCGGCGGCTTCGCACTGCGGGCCAATTCGCTTGGCCGTCTGGAGCAGATCGAAAGCTACGCCCCTGGCCGTCAGGTCAGATTTGGAAGTTTGAACTTCACGGCTGACATCCGCAGGGACTTGATCCTCGATGGATTCGAGCCACAGCCGAGCGTGCCGCACTGTCACGGCGAGCATGATTTAGCTCTGCAGCCGTACAGTACCCTGGAGGCCGCACTCGAGCCTGCTCCGATCATCAATTCGGAGCCGGCGGCGCAGGTCGAGGACGGATGGCTAGACACCGCCTCGGGAGCTGCAACCTCTACGGTGATAGAGCCGAACAATGACCTTGTCCCTCATGAAGCCCGTGACTCCGAGGCGCCGGACTCCTTGCCGGACTCCAAACCTCCCGCGCCCCCTCCGATCGAATCCGATTGGGCGCCAATCATGGAGTTCACCGCAGCGGACATCTTTCAACTCTCACCTTTTGGCGACATCTTAAGTTCGCTAAAGTATCTCTCGTTATCAGGAGAGCCCTGGCCGGACTGCGGTCAGGACGGTTGGGATGCGGACGACGAAGAAATTCAAAGCCCACCCACCACCCACTTGGTAGCCGCTGTCGACGATCTAACCGACATGCTAGACTACGACTCCGAAGACATCGATGGTATGGACGAAGATGCCGAAGACGACCAAGAACCAACGCCTACTGGGCACTGGAAAGCCACCTCATCATATGACATATACATGGTGGATATCCCAAAGGATGGGAATGGCGAAGAAACAGCGGAGGACGACCCCTCCAAGAAGCAGCCCAAGCGCCGGCGTCAGCGGCGCCGCTCTAAATCCCGCCACAGCAAGAATGAAGACTCCGGCACTGGAGATAATAATACACCGGACAGTGCCGAAGACAACCAACTCCAGCAAGATGCAGCACAGGAGGACGGAGATGCCAGCCCTCATGAGAGAGCGGCAGAAGAAGAGGTAGAGGATTATATGCCTCCCTCCAGAGACGAGGCAAGCCTCGACGACGATGAATTCGTCGTGCATGAGGATCCCGTCGAACAAGAGCGTTTTAAACGCAGGCTTATGGCCACGGCGAACAGCCTCAAGAAAAAGCAGCAACAGCTTAGAGCTGATCAAGATCTGCTAGCTGACAGATGGACCGAAGTCCTCGCGGCCGAAGAGCATGAGCCCGAACGCCCCTCCAAAAGCTACCCTAAACGCAAGCTGCTCCCCCGATTAGAGGAGGAAGCGTATGAACCCGCATCACCAGGAGACAATACGGCTGACCGACCACCCCGTGGTCGCGACAGAGAGGCCTCTAGGCCCTTCACTAGACCTGTACCCCGACATCGCTCGAAAAGCACAAGGCCACAGGGGAACGCTCTGGACTTGCGAGATATATTGGAGGATAAGGCAAGACAATCAAGATCGATCTACGGATCGCGTGGGCGCCCCACGGTATGTGACGACAGCCATCGCGCCGGACATAGTAAGTCCGGCCGGGTCGAACAAAACAAACAAAGTTCTTTTGAGCTCCGTCGTGATATCGCCCAGTACAGAGGCGCCGCACACCCACTATGCTTCACAGATGAAGTAATGGATCATCAAATCCCCGAAGGGTTTAAACCCGTGAATATCAAATCTTACGATGGCACAACAGACCCCGCGGTTTGGATCGAAGACTATCTTCTTCACATCCACATGGCCTGCGGTGACGATCTTCACGCCATCAAATATCTCCCCCTCAAGCTTAAAGGACCAGCCCGGCATTGGCTTAACAGCTTGCCAGCAGAGTCAATTAGGAGTTGGGAAGACCTGGAAGCCGCATTCCTCGATAACTTCCAAGGCACGTATGTGCGACCACCAGACGCTGATGACCTAAGCCACATAATTCAGCAGCTAGACGAATCGGCCAGACAATTCTGGACACGGTTCTTAACCAAGAAAAACCAAATCGTCGACTGCCCGGATGCGGAGGCCCTCGCGGCCTTCAAGCATAACATCCGCGACGAGTGGCTTGCCCGGCACCTGGGACAGGAAAAGCCGAAATCCATGGCAGCCCTCACATCACTCATGACCTGCTTCTGCGCGGGTGAGGATAGCTGGCTAGCACGCAGCAACAACCTCAGCAAAAATTCTGGCAGTCCGGATTTCAAGGACCGAAATGGCGGGTCACGTCGTAACAAAAACAAGCACCGCATCAACGGCGACAATAGTGAGGATACGGCAGTCAATGCCGGATTCAGAGGCTCTAAACCCGGTCAGCGGAAAAAGCCATTCAAAAGAACTACTCCGGGTCCGTCCAATTTGGACCGGATACTCGACCGCTCGTGCCAGATACACGGCACCCCCGAAAAACAAGCCAACCACACCAACAGGGACTGTTGGGTATTCAAGCAGGCAGGCAAGTTAATTGCCGAAAACAATGACAAGGGGCTGCATAGCGATGACGAGGAAGAGACCCGACCGCCGAACAATGGAGGACAGAAGGGTTTCCCCCCACAGGTGCGGACGGTGAACATGATATACGCAATGCACATACCCAAAAGGGAGCGGAAGCGTGCACTCAGGGATGTATACGCGATGGAGCCAGTCGCCCCGAAGTTCAATCCATGGTCCTCCTGTCCGATCACTTTTGACCGAAGGGACCACCCCACCAGCATCCGCCACGGCGGATTCGCTGCATTGGTCTTAGACCCAATCGTCGATGGATTTCACCTCACCAGAGTCCTGATGGACGGCGGCAGCAGTCTAAACCTGCTCTATCAGGATACAGTGTGCAAAATGGGCATAGACCCCTCAAGGATTAAACCTACCAAGACGACCTTTAAAGGCGTCATACCAGGTGTAGAAGCCAATTGTACAGGCTCAGTTACACTGGAAGTGGTCTTCGGATCCCCGGATAACTTCCGAAGCGAGGAGTTAATCTTCACATAGTCCCGTTCCGCAACGGCTATCATGCCTTGCTCGGACGTACCACGTTTGCAAAGTTCAACGCGGTGCCGCACTACGCATACCTCAAGCTCAAGATGCCAGGCCCTCGAGGAGTCATCACGGTCAACGGAAACACTGAACGTTCTCTCCG